TCTTCAAGTTCTGAAGCGATCTTATACTTCAAAGATAACTTTTGTAAGTTTCTTAACTCTCAGATCTGAGTTCTCATACTCTGTCTATTATAAGAGCAGATTCTCAGCTTCTATTACTTAGTTTATTCACTTTATAAGATTTAGAGACACTTCAGTGATCTGAGATTCTCAGTTTATCAATACTTTTGATACTTATAGAGTAATAGTATTACAGTGCTGTCTCTCTTTATAAGTATGTATTTCTATTAAAAGAGTAACAGATTTAGATATCAGTTTTAAGACTCTTAAGAAGATAGTTACTGACTCTGTCTGAAAATTCTTAAATTTTCTCTTCAGTTTATTAGAACAGTTTATATAAAGATATTCTAATTTGAAATAGATAAAGTAGTAACTCTTTTTCTTAATCTCTCTATTATACACTTTATTTACAGAAACTTGTGAATCTCTCTCTCTTTATTTAATAGTTAGATATAAATCTCTCTGTATTTTGTTATCTTTTCACAGTAAATTTATTTACTGTTATTCTGACTCTTACAGAGCTGATCAGTGATTCACTCTTTATAAGTCTATAATTCTTACAGTGATCTGTAAGTGATGAATAAGAGTTATAAGTTTTCTCAGAATTAAGAGCGTAGAGTCTTACTTAATAAGCTTATTTTATATATCTTTATTAATTCTCTTTATATATATCATTATTCAGATCTTGTTTCAGAGCTCTGTTTTCACAGATCTTAATTCATATTCTAATTTTATAAAATACTGTAAGTAGTCTTTATCAGATTTCTTATCTTATTTTATAATATTAATAATTACAGCTTAGATATTCTCTGTTTAGCTTATAAAGTTTTTTAACTTATTCTCTAAATTAATCTTAAGAACTGATTAGTGAACTCTTTTATAATTATTCTTTAAATAATTCAGTCAATTCTTTACTTCAGTGTAGTAGAGATCTCTTATTATATAGATAATAGCTTCTTCATCTTTTATATTATATAGTAAGACTTATGAGTCAATTTTAAAAATAAACTGATAAAAGCTTTTATAAGTTGTAGTTCAGTAGATAATCTTAAATAGTTATAACTTAAGAAAGTTTCTTTTCAGTTCATAGATATATCTGAAGATTATCTCTAGAAACTCAGTTTAAGAGTGTTTATAGATAGTAAGTTTTTTTTTATAAAAAAATAACTTAGTTTTATAGAAGATACTTAAGAATGTTCTTTATTACCATTGATTTATTTATAAGTTCAGAGAGTGTTTCTATTATTGATATAGAGAATGATATTTTATAAGTAATTAATAAGTTCTCTGACATTTCTTTTATTAAAATTATTTATAATTCACATAGCTACTTCTGAGTATCTGTAATAGAGTTTACAGAGATTTACTATACAAGTTTCTAGTTCTTTCAGTTATAACACACAGTGGCTGATTGACAAAGCTTGAAGGATAAGAATAAATACTCACAGACAATTATTCAGATATTCACAGCTTGATATAATATAAGCTAATCAACATCATTACAACCGCTTTATCATGAACTCGCTCAATTTTTCGCATATTGTGGCGCACATATTACTTGCGAAAACAGAATTTTCCCAGCCCCCCCTGAAAATTAGTAGCAAAACATCATCAAAAAATCAAAATATCCGCATTTCTCTAGAATTATTCAATATCATTCAATACACATCTTTTTCAATTAAATATCATTCAAATACGCGTCTTTCTTACCTTTATCATCAAATTCACATATATCAATCAACTCTTTTTTCAATATGCTTCACAACACTCACTGTTCTGCTGCTTCGCAAGCCTGTATAAAGACTTCTATCCTGCACCTCAGTCTCTCCAAACTACCAGTTTCAGAAGTTCTGAATAATGAAGAGAATCCGGTCAATGATGAGATGAAGGAGCAGGTGAATGAGAAGAATATAGAGACTCAGTCTGAGAATTCTCAATATCTGCGAATCTCTACACCTGAGCCTGACATCTCATACAGATTGTATGAATGAGTGATTATCAATGAAATAAAGAATTCTGTCAAGATCAAATACTGAACTGTCTCAGCAAATAATTCAACTATCAGCTTCTTTCATATTCAACATACTGCAGAAAAGATGGCTGAGAAGTATATTACAAAGCAGATCTGTAAGAAGATGGAAGTTGTAGATCATACAGCTGTTATCACATCATACAAATGTGAATTTCAGGCCAATAAAATCACTATTGAGAAGAAGAAGAATTGAAAGAAGATAATTGATCTTTTGAAGAAGTTGTATAAGAAGAAGATGAGTAATCTTATCATTGAAGTTATCTCTTCTTTCAATCTTCTTGATATCTCAACACTATCTTTCAACACATCCGCAATACACAGTCCTGCAGCTTTTATTGAAGTGCCAGATTCACAATTAGCAACTCAGGCATTGACATTAAAAAGAGCTCTTAATGTCAAAGAAGAAACAATCTCATCATTCTGCAATTCTTATCATCATCCTGTCAAATCCTCTCAAATTCATGAAATATTCAATGATGAAAAGCCATCTACACATTCAAGAATCACAGTCATCAGTCAACAACTGAAGAAGATTCAAAATTGACAATCAAAGAAATGAGATTCTTTGCAGATTGAATGTGAGATAACTGCTCAGTGACATTGTCAAAAGATGAATTATCATAACTTTGAGCAGAGCACTTGCTGAATAGCATATGATGATACTTATATTCAACTTCTGAGTAGTGAGATTGCAAGTTGAATAGATGATATTGAATGTGATAAAGCAATGATTGAGACTTCTTCAAGAAAGATAACAAAACAATTAATGAGTAGAAAGAAGAAGAAGAGTCAGAAGAATGAATCTATAACTTCTACATTCAATTCTTCTATACAGATCTCTTAATTGTCAGCAGTTATATTCTCTTCTTCAGCTCCGGCAGCTTCAACTTCATTAAATATGACATTTTCAAGTGAGATAATCAATGTGATGATGATGAAATATATGATGAAAGAAATAGAAGAACTGAATTCACAACCTTATTATCATTCACATTCAGATCTGTCATCAAATCTTTCATTGAATTCTTCATTGAATTCACTGTTAAATCTGTCATTGAATCTGCTGTCAAATCCTTCATCAAATTCACTGTCAAATTCTTCATCAAATTCACTGTTGAACCCTTCATCAATTCTGTCATTGACTTCATCAAATTCATCTTCAATTTAAAGCAGTTCAATACCTCAATTTGATAAATAAGCAGATTTATTCTTTGATGAATACTTCAAATGATTGACAATCTGAAGTTCTAATAAAGCTTCTGATTTGTTAGATGCTAAGTTCATTCTTCAGAAGAAAGGATTTGAATTGAATCATCTACAGATGTTAACAAGGGAACAGTTGCTTGATATGAATATTGAGAAGAGTATATTTCAAATTATAAGAGATGGATTAAAAAGTTCATTATAACAGACAAGATTGCAGGAATTCAAATCATCTCTATCAACTGCTTGTAGTGATAAGAGCAGATCTCATACTACTTCAACCTCTAAATCTGTATTATAGTTGAATGAATTGCAATCTGAATCTTTGTGATTATTACAATACTATTCTATATGAGCAGATCTGAAATATTCTTTTATCTCTTTTTCTCTCATAAAGTTCTCAACTGCATGATGCAAAAAAGCTTCAAAATCTTCATCAAACTGAGTATCTAACTGATCTCTATATCTTCTAATTCAGTTCTTCAATGCGTGAAAAGACTCCTCTATAGAATTATAGTCAGATGAATATAATGATAAGAATAATAGTTCAACACCTGCATCTCTGCAAAGATTCTTCAATTCTTGAGATTAATGAGTATTACAATTATTCATCACTAAGTAGTGATAACTCTGTTGACATTTGAGCAGTATTCAGACATATATAAACTCATTAAATCTCTCTGTATTGTAGAACCTCTGATATATATCATAATCAATATATTCATTGACAGTTATCACAGATAAGATTGACCATCTTCAAGATTGTTTACAGGGCCTTCTAACATAACAAGGGAATTCTCTGCTTGATCATTCATATCATTGATTCACTGTATGTTCATTTGCAGCACTCTCATTCAAAAAGATCAGTTAATCAGGGAGATACTGAGTGAGTTGAATACATCATTCAGCTCAAAGTTCTTCATTGTGTTGAGTGACTATGAGTTCAACCTATATTATAGAACTAATGAATTAGTAGATTCTATACATCAAGTGATATTTAATTGTAATATTGATTATCTTCTTTCATATCAAATTCAGTTTCTTCAACACTCTAGATATTGACCGCAGGTGAATATTAACATCAAATTCATTCTTCATAAAGCAGACAGTCTCATCGCGATATGCAGTTGAATATGTCTTGAAAAAATCCTTCAATTCTGACAAGATATCTGATGTGATCTTTGACTTTACACTGTGTGTTGAATGGGGTTCTCTAGCAGTTTCAAAGCAGTGAAGATTTTATTGAATTCAATATACAGTAGTCAGATGACAATCAATGCTTCGCGCGATCTCAGCAGGTATATAACCATTCTTAAGAAGGTGTACAATCTCATTGATGATGAAATCACAGAGTTGAGGTGGCATATTGATGATAAAGGTAAGAAAGACGCGTATTTGAATGATATTTGATTGAAAAAGACATGTATTGAATGATATTGAATGATTCTAGAGAAATGTGGATATTTTGATTTTTTAATGATGTTTTGCTACTAATTTTCAGAGAGGGCTGGGAAAATTCTGTTTTCACAAGTAATATGTCTGCCACAATAAGAACCCGCTGATAGATTCATCGAACAGCCCTTGATCATATGAGCATTTTGACCCCATCGCCGACTGCATACCCCGTATGATGGTGTAGTTATCCAGCCAAATATGAACCAGATGTGGTTCAAAACTTCTGTGTGAAATTATCCTCTGTTCACCCCTATCACATCACAACCCTGGGTCAAATTACCATAAAATTTCAAGGTGAAGAGACCTAGTTATATACATCAATCTACTTGATATTGAAAGATTTCTGATCTGTAATTGTAAAAATATCTGAAGAGCAATCTTCATGAAAACCCTGTCTATGTTTGATATTTCAAAACATTAACATGAAGTCTCACTCATGTACCGCCCTTATCAATCTGGTCTATCTCTGGCAGAAATATACAAAAGAATACCTCAGTAATAGTATCAAGTACATAATCAACAGATATATCTGAAGTGCAATCTCTGTGAAAATCATCTGAAGTGCAATCTTTGTAAAAACTCTGTCTGTCTTTGATATTTCAAGATATCAATGTTAAGTCTTACTTATATACTGTTCTTCTCAATCTGACTCATCTTCAGTAGAAAGATATAAAAATATACCTCAGTAATGATATTCAATACATAATCAGTGAATAACTATAAAATCAGTTTATCTTAAGATCTGACTGAGCCTTTGATCTTTGCATAGTAAGATATATTAAATCTAGTTTTAATATCTTAATATTTAATGAATTCTGCAAGGAATTGAGAGCAGCAATACTAGATTTCTATTAAATTTGAGAATTAACTCTGTCTTAATATAATCATTGACTGTAAGAAATTCCGCTCCTCGCGAATACTTTACCTCTATTTCTATCTCTGATGTAATGAATAGAGTTAGCAGTCCTTGACTACATACAACTATATAGACTGAAGTTTGTGAATACTATTCACAACTCAGCTTGAATACTATTATACATTTAATCTCTATATTTATCTTTCTACTGTGAATACTTCTAGTAGCTATCAGTATATATTATATCAAGCTGCAAATATCTGAATAATCATCTATGAGTATTTATTCTTATATTTAAAGCTCTGTCAGTCAGTAACTGCTTATTATAACTGAAAGAATTGAAAACTTGTATACTTTAATCTCTGCAAACTCTATTACAGACACTCAGAATCAGTTATCTGAACTATGTATAATTCTTATAAGAGAAGTCTTAGAGAACTTATTAATTACTTATAGAATATTATTCTCTGTATCTATAATAGAGAAACTCTTCAAACTTATGAATAAATTAATTTCAGTAAAGAATATTTGTGAGCATCTCTTATAGAAATGAGTTATTTTTCTATAAGAAATACTCTATCTGTAAACACTCTTGAACTGAGTCTTTAAATATAATCTTCAGAGATATCTGTAAACTTAAAATGAACTTTCTTAAACTGTAACTACTTAAGATTATCTTCTGAATTATAATATATAAAAGTATTTATAAGTTTATATTTAAAATTAACTCATAAGTCTGACTGTGTGATATAAAAGATGAAGAAGCTAGTATCTATATAATGACAGATCTCTACTACACTGAAGTCAAGAACTGACTAAACTATTTAGAGAATAATGATAAGAGATCTCACTGATCTGTTTTTAAAACTATTCTAAAGAATAAGTTAAAAGACTCTGTAAGTCAGACAGAGAATATCTGAGATATAAGTATTAATATTAAAAAAAGAGATGAGAAATCTGATAAAAGACTACTCACAGTACTTTATAGAATGATGATATAAATTAAGATATATGAAAACAGAACTGAAACAAGATCTGAATGATAATATTTATAAAGAGACTTAATAAAGATATATAGAATGAGCTTATTGAGTAAGACTCTAAGTTCTTAATTATGAAGAAACTAATAACTCTCATTCATTACTTATAAATCGCTGTAAGAGTCACAGATCTACAGACAGTAGATCACTAATCAGCTCTGTAAGAATCAGAATAATAAAGAACAGATTTATCAGAAAAAGATAATAAGATATAGAGAGATTCATATCTGACTGCTAAGTAGAAAGAGAGAGTTTTATAAGCTCTTATAAACAGAGTATATAATAGAGAGATTAAGAAAAAGAGTCTCTGCTTTATCTGTTTCAAATCAGAACATCTTTATATAAACTATCTGAATAAATTAAAATAGAAATTTAAGAAGTTATAAAAAGAGTCAGTAACTGTCTTCTTAAGAGTTTTAAAGCTAATATCTGAATCTGTTACTTCTTTAATAAAAATATATACTTATAGAGAGAGATTAAACCGCAGTACTACTATCTTGTAAGTATGAGAAGTATTAATAAACTGAGAATCATATATTACTATAGTGTCTCTAAAGCTTATAAAGTGAATAAGCTGAGTCATGAAAACTGAGAATCTGCTCTTATAATAAGCAGAATGTGAGAACTCAGATCTGAGAGCTGAGAAACTTATAAGAGTTATCTTTGAAATACAAGATATCTTCAGAACTTGAAGAAGATTTACAGAAACTATGATTATTATAAATATCATAGATAATATATACTTAAAACTTACATAACTTCAAAGAAATAATTCATATATAGCTGTCTATGAGTCAGGTTTATACTTTTAATCAGTATTGACAGACTTACTTACAGAGATAGAATCAGTTATTATTATTATTATTATTTTTCAATTATAGATGTATGCAGTCAGTGACTATGACATCTACCTGAGAACTTTTAGTTCTCAGGGTTTTTCCTATATCTGTAAAGTTAACTATTATACATTCATCAATTTCAGATATGCAAAATCAGAAAATTCCAGCCCAGAATACAAAAACTGTTTACAAATTGCAGTGTTTTAACATCTTCTGATACTTTGAAACCATTTGACAATATCATGACAAAAGAAAAGAGAACACAGTCTTAAAGATAGACACATTAAATAGATAGATAGAAAAGAATAGAAAGGAAAAAGTAAAGTAAAATAAAGAGAGACTGTAATGAAACAAATTATTAAAAGATAGTATATAGCTGTTTTAACAGACTATATCTGATCAATTTCCTCCTCTTCATATTCAGATATTTCTGAATACAGCCATTTTCTTATAGCTGCTTGAGTTTCTGATAGAAAGTCTATTAAGTATTTAATTCCTGTCTCAGTTGAGAATAAGAATCTCATATTTAATTGACTTAGATCATACTTCTCTTTCAATCTGACTCTGAGACTATTGTATAATGCACAGTGCATTACAATATACTCAGAATTCTCATTTGCATTGCAGAATAAGCATTGTATTGAATTAAATCTATCATCAAATCTTTGTATATAAGATTTGAAATAGTCATGTTCTAGTTTCAGCTGTATTATAGATGAGAATATTTTCTTTTTACATTTAATTGAACAAGATTTCCACTTGAGTTTTATTTCAAATCTTGAATAATGTATACTCTTC